TCTTAAAGTGTAAAATGAAAATGAGGGAATGTAGTGCCATGATAGGGGTAGATGCGGTACATTTCCAAGCGTGGTGACCGCGGTAATGCTGCATGCAACAGTGGAAGAGAGGAATGCCGTTTTAAAATAATGCTGATGACTGAAGTTTCGGTGGCTCTCCTTTTATAGTTCTCTAAAGGATCCATCCTCCGATGACATCCAAATGTGATATACAACAAAAAAGTCCAAGACATTTTTTGACTAGGGGGGAGGAGCGAGAGCGGCTTACTTTACCATTGCCACCAGCGTAGCATTTTCCACTTATCTCTGAGACTGGGATCAAGTTGTTAGGTTTCTAGGCGACTTTATTTAAACCAAACTGAAGGACCAGAAGACCCTTTGTATGGATTCACGCCGAGGGTTAATGCAAGTTATAAAGGTCGTAATTTGATTGGATAGTTTCAAGGTCATTCGTTGGATCTTAGTTGATGGAAGAGAAACCTTAAAGCCTAACACGTTTTCCCTTCTAGGTCAAAATTTCTGATTAACATATTAAGTTAATAAGTTCCTAAAGTTATTATGGGCGGATAGTCTCGACTCTTTTTATAAGTTGCAAACTTCTACTCAGTACCAGTCATCTTTAAGTATCGAAACAAATTGGAAGAAATGCTGCCTTAAGAAGTCCACGTTCTTCAAAGACCTAAAAAAGTACATTATCTTGAATTAAAATTATTTTACATCCAAAGTTTATCTGACTGATTCCTTTTGTTAGAAGCCAAAATAGGGGGCGTAAGATATATTTATGGAGATTCACAACCGAAGGGACTATTGATGTCATATTAACTTCAGCCAACCATTCCAACCTCAAGTTGGGCATCACAGTCACTAACAGAAGGTCGATTAAAGTAGGAAGGTAAAAGGAATAACGGATGAGTGGTAAAGTGTACAAATAAGGCACCTTCCGTACCGCAAATTTTTGACCAGCCCAGATGGATTACAGTGCAATATGAAACGTCAAGGGAGAAAAAAACAAGAAAGATAGGAAATGAAAAGGAAATCTGAAAAGAACATTCTAAAATCCATGTGGAACTAGACCTCTCTACAAGGAAGGAGCCGGCATGCGGGATGTGTCCGCTGAAGGCCATCGAACAGGCCTCCTATCCTAATCTCAAAGAGATCTTTTACGACAAGGGAAGATAACAGCGAAATTGCATCAAAATCCACCCAAACCATCAGTACCGCTTGGAATTGTTCGCCTTTTTGTTCCACAGTTGACGGCAAAATACTGATGTGTTGGCTGGGGTAGAAGAGCAATTCCTGGAAAGCACAGAGTCGAGGCTAAGAGGAGGAATTGGGAGTCATAGACCATCGATATGCTGCGCTAATAATATTTCAACCCTTCCACATGCTCAAAACAAAGCCACACCCAGGTCCGAATGAGGAGTAACTCAAATGGAACATAGCATTGTTTAAGGGATTAAATAAATTGCTAGGCAAATGTGTTTAACCGTTTGAGGGCAAGTGGCCGTCGACGCTTGTATTCCACAATTTACCGGACTTTTCCACTCATATCCCGTCAAGCCCACTCATTGGCACCGCAGCGATTGAGGATATTGTCGGCACCTTAGGGTGGGGAGAGGTCATTCTTGCTACCACCATTTTCTGCCCAAATTTCTGCAGTGTAACAACCGCCGCCAGACAGATTTAAACCCCGCACATAAAAACCGTCCCCGCGTACGTGTTTTGCCCGTCTGTCTGGTAATGAAAGCGTCCAGTTTGCTATTCCCACCTAGAGAGAACGAGCAAACGAGTTAATGAAGCGTGGAAGCATAAGGACCATCTACTATCACCAGCACGATGTCAAAGAACCACTGTAATAGGTATCTCATGTCCAAAGGTGGCGAACCGTTTAAATTACCCGCCTTTCCTGTATCAATGCAAATAAACGCAAAAAAAACTGCTGCTGAATTCCTCAAAGCGCAACAGCCGTCCATCGTTGGCGCTTTTGACCATGCTTCCACAGTGGGAACTCCAGAAGACAGTGTTACTTAACTCCTCTCCTCGCCACTCCACTCCAACCCACTGCACCCAACTTGATGCAAACTCGCCTCCTCCTCCTCC